ATTTTATACCTACATATAAAGTGTATTTTTATGATAGCAGTAACTGTAAGTGGACTTTTGTAATAGGTAAATCAAATGCAAGCTAGTAAGCTACAGTACTAATTGCTAAAAGCTCAAATGAGTTAATATGTGTTTCTTATAGCAGTTCAAATGTAGTCATTTTCTGTATTTATTATAATTTTTAATTCAGTGATTTTAACTTTTAATTTAGTTTAAACTAATGTTCTGCTATCTGTTCTACAAACTATAAAAGGTACAGCTGTAATAAAACCAGAGAGAAAGGCTGCATGGCTAGAAACTGTATAAAAAAAAAAAGTCAAATAATAGTATGTGAGACAGTGGTAATATCATTATGTTCCTGTTGGTCAGTAGAGGAGCTTAGCTTAGCTGGACAGTTACCTGCTTTAGACCAGGTTAGTTTCCCAGCATAAGTTGCCACAGTGACTAAGCTTGATCTAGGCCCATGTTAAATTAGCTTTTTGGAACCAAATCATTTGACAATGAGTCAGACTAACTGAAATAAGCCTGGCTTATTTGGTTAACTTGTTTTATGAAACAGGTCTCGAGGCATTAAAAGTGATCATATTTTGTCCATTGCATCGTATTGCATCGAATCGAAATCGGATCGCGCTGCATCGTAATAAGGGTGAATTGTATCGCATCGGTAGCTGCTTCATATGTATCTTTAATGTATCGTATTGTTGGCAATACATCGAGATGCGTATCGTATCGGCCTCAGTCATGAGATGCACATCCCTAATTCATATGAAAGAAGAAAGTCATATACACCTAGAATGGCTGAGGGTGAGTAAATCATGGGGTCATTTCATTTTTGGGCAAACTATCCCTTTAAGCATTAAAAGTCATGGTCCATTGGAAAGAAATGATTAACCCTGGATTACGACACAACTCGTACGAAATGATTCAGACCATATTATCAGCCCTTGTTTTTACACGCCATGTTACCCATTCGTTTTCAGCCTGGGTTGTTTATAAGAAAGCAAAAAGGTTACGAAGCAGCAGCGTTCTACTGTATCGTGGACTAAAGATGGAGAAAGGGTTTGTTTGTCTCCAAAGCACCTTCGCTGGAGCGACCGTTCACAGGAGTAGAGGCAGAGGACGGAGGAGTGCTGTTCACAGAACAATGAAGAGGATGATCACGACAAACAAGATGGCCAGAAGAATGCCGATAGCGCACCACTGTCGCCGATCTGCAGGGTCAAGTGAGAATATAACAGGTTAAAACACTCATAATTAGTCTCTCAACCAATTGTTTCCTATGAAATGGTCCAGAAGTTTGACTTCCAGAGTGCCAACTTTATGAATCATGACAAAGTTTTGGCTTTACATAAAAACAGTCAGCATAATATTTTAACTGTAATAAAACAAAAGTAAATACTGTCAGATAGGATGTCCAATATTAAAATAAGAGGTTTCAGTTGAATGATTGCTGAAAGTATTCTCTGACTGATTCTAACCATGTGTGACTGTAAATGAAGCAGGTCTGCTCTTCCGCTGCTGTATTACTCACCGCTGGTCATGTGAGAAACTTTAGCCAGCTTCTTCATGACGTTATCCAGTCTGGATTGAGTGCTGTCCATCTCATGTGAAAAATCATCTATCATTCTGAAAATAGGCCAGACACATTCAGAAAGTTTTGAGGTCTGTTAACTCACAAACTGTCAGGATTCACGCCAAAAGCAGGTCAATTTCTCATGTATTACTTTGTGCTCTGGTTTGTAATTGATGAAAAAAAAAACTATATTACTAATATATATATATAAATGATTTTTAAAATAATTAGAGAAAGCATAAAACTAAAAATTATACATAAATGATGTACAAGTACTAATATACATACATATGCAGTTTTTCATGGATCGCATTGTGTTGTGTTCTGGTTTGTAATTAATAATTTTTAAAAAATCATAAATATATTAAGAATATATAAAAACATTTTGAAAAAGATTAATTTATATAGCAATTATTATTCAAAAACTGTATAATTAAAATGTGTGTGTATATGTATGTGCATATTTATTTATATAAATATAAATTGTTAATATAGAACTATAATTTTAATAATTATATTTTTAATGAAATAATGTGTATATATGTGCATGTGTATATATATATATAAAATCGTGTAAACATGTAATTTCGCCATTAAAAAATACATAATTTATACTATTTATATATCCAGTTTTCAAATTATATATAATTTAAAATAGAAATAATAATCTATAAATTATACAAATTTTTCCATTAACAAAAAATTATAAGTTGATCATAATTTAATTAAATGACATATAAACATATACATGCACATATATACACACAAAGATTTCCTACCTAACTTCACCAGTTTCAAAGTGACTTACACAGCTTGCTCATCCAGCTCTTGGCCGATCCTTTGGGACATGTTCTTCAAGACACCAATAGTTCCCGATACCAACTCCAGCTGCTCATCCTGCTGTTCTGCTATGAGCTGCAATGTACAGAAATAAAACATACTGTCCTGACAAGTGCTCAGAAATATGGTTCAATATGCTAATCACCTCTTAAATATGAACTGATGTATTGACATACCTGTTGCTGGGTCTGTTGTTCCTCGATGAACTGTGAGTTTGCCGTCTGCAGCTCCCGGTCTAGTCTGGTGTACTTATCAGCATTGGGTTGCCAGATTGGGCCACGAGACCCACCATCACCCATTAAAGTCTAATATGAGATCATAAATTATCATGAGATGATACGCAAACGGTCAAATCATAATCTGGCTCCTACTTTCATAGTTTGAGTACAAACCTGTCGATTTTTCCTCTCAGACACCGTAATTGCCATCGGAGTAGCCATGTGGTCTTTCATCTCCTGTAAAATTAAAATCAATTAGAGATATCCGTGTGCCATTGGGGCAGATGTATGTAAGTCTCTCAAATCTACTCACCCTGACTGTTTGCCTTGTGCTAGTGATGAAGGCTTTCCTCTTGGCCAGCTCCATCGCATCGAGATTGAACTTCTTTGGATTAGCCTCCACAATACTTAAAGACAATGTTAAGGCTACAATATATAAACACCTGAACCATTTCAAGTCCAAACATAGGCTACCAGAAACAAAAGGATATTGATAGTCTCATCCAAGTCCTCCAGGTCCCATTCAATGGACCTCAAACTGTTCCTCAGCTCATTGGTGGTCCAGTCCACCTCCTCCTTGCTGGCTCCACCCGGGTCCTGTAGCAGCTCCATCCATCTCTGATGAAGCCCCTGAGCTGTGTTCACAGCCTTCTGCACCTCTCTAATGAACAGCAATCCATTAAAAGAAATACAAATTTATAAAGTCAGGAACCCAACAGTATTTGAACAATGACAATGCAAATGTTAGGCTTGAGTCATAAATAAAAACACTATAATATTACAGATAATATCCTGATTTTGGACATGTACCATGGCACAGTGATGGTATCACATGGAAATACCATAGTACTTTGATTTATACCATGGTATTCACATTAGATTCCAAGGTACGTCCGAATATACCAAGGTACATGTTCAGAAAGCATGATAATTCCATGTTTTTAGACATGTACTATGGCACTTTGACTTATACCATGGTATTCATGTAGCACTCCAAGGTATTTCCAAATATACCATGGTACAAATCCCCAAAACAATTTAAAAATTCCATGTTTTTGGACATGTATCATGGTACAGTGAAGATATCACTGGGAAATAGCATGGTACTATTGTTTTACCATAGTATTTAAATGGCACTCCAAGGTACTTCCAAGTACTACATATTCGTAAGTATAACATATCAAAGAGCAGGGGTGTATTCCAGAAAGTGAGTTTAGTATTCCAGAGTTTGTTATCCCCAGAAAAGGGAAACTCAGTGTTTTCGGTTCCAATAAAAGACTAAACGAAACCTCTCGGTAATTTACCACAGTAACTTACTCTGTGAACCTAACCTGGTCGGGAGCAGGTTTTCTTCGGTAAACCCAGAGTTTCTTTCGGTCTCCTCCCCCTTTTTAAAGCGTAAGCAATGTTTAAATACCTCATCAATTCATTCACGCTGCAAAAATTGCTTTTATTGCTGAGATTTTTGCCTTATTTCAAGTACAAATATCTAAAAATTCCTAAACCATGATGCATTTTCTATATAAGAAAAAATATATACGATATTTAGTCTTGTTTCCTGGGGTAAACAAGTCAAATTAATTGCCAGCGGGGTAAGAAAAATAATCTTAATGAAAATGGAAACAAGATTATTTTTCTCACCGGACCACTTTCATTTTCATCATGCAGACATGGTAAATGTGACAAAAATGGCATGTCTTTTTATAAGGGATCCTGTAGATGAGGAAGCTGCATTAATTCGCGGGGAGTTACATTTACATCAGAAGAGGATTTAATTTTATTTAATTGATTTATTTTGCCATATTAACATGCATATTTATTTGAACGGTACCATTTTTAAATGGCGTTCACTTGATAACATCTTGTTGTGACCTCTAAGTAACCTAATAATTAGAATTTCCTTTAGGATTTCCAGTGTGGTTGGATGCATTGATTACACACATATTCTCACCATCGCACCTTCTGAAAATGAAGCTGATTAGGCTACTGTATGGAATGGAAGGATGCCAGGTGGAAGGGTAGTGCAAATTATTCACAATTTATTTGGTCATCTTTAAGTTCTACAAATACAAAAGCAACAAATTATTATTTTCCCTGTTGGATTTTAATATTGGTATTGTGGCCATCTCCTCTTCATCTGTCAGTGGTGCTGGTGCAGGTTCTCCTCCCACTTTACAAGTCTCTGCCTTCTTGCTGTTGGCTTCTGAATAGAAGTCAAATGTGAATTCATTACCCTAATTAAGAAATGTAGCATGTTGGATTAGAGAACATTTAATTATGTGAAAAAGCATTAAACTATGTGGGAAAAGCTGCTGCACATTGAAATGGATATACACTGAATGATATTTATTGAATGTCAAATATTTGTAGTCATGTAACGTTAGCCTACACCCATTTTACGCTTGAAGCTTTACCTGATTGAATTATGTTTTTGTTTTGTTTTTTGACTCAGAGTCAACCTACTCAGAGTGGATTGAGCTAACTCTGTTCAGCTGTTCCCATCGCAGAGTAAATCAACTCAGAGTTCAAGTTTTAACTCCGAGTTTGTTGAACCTCCTTTCTGGGGCCCGTTTCAATAAGGAGGTTCAACCAACTCGGAGTTAAAACTTACTTAGTAGAAACTTACTTACTTAGAAAAAATACTTAGGAAGAAAAGCATTCTTACAACGTGCATGAATGAATGAAGTATTTAAAGGGGACATATGATGCAATTAAAATTCTTCCTTTCTCTTTGGAGTGTTACAAGCTCTTGGTGCATAAAGAAAGTCTGTAAATTTGCAAAGACTAAAGTCTCAAATCCAAAGAGATATTCTTTATAAAAGTTAAGAGTCAACCACGCCTACCTAAAACGGCTCGTTCTAACAAGCCCCCACATGCCTACGTCACAATACTGGAAGATTTGCATAACGCCGCCCAAATGTTCACGCAAAGAAAGCGTAACTTTTATTCTCGCTGTAGTTTTGTTGTTGCCGTGTGTTTCGTTGTGAAAGCGAAACTACTTTGTTTGGCCTTCCAAAAGAGGAGGATATCCGCTTCGTCATGCCTAGAGCTGATCCGTGCTGGTCGCTGAGGAAATACTTCAACTTCGCGCTGTGGATCGCCGGATCAGCTTTCACCGTGGACAAAGCGGAGCCCAGCCCGGGGTCGTCACATGTGGTTGCCGCAAGCCCGCCGCCGCTCATTCTAGCCCACCGTGTGTTTTGTCGTGAATGCGAAACTACTCTGTTTGGTCTTCCAAAAGAGGACACGACTAGAA